ACGCCCCCGGGAGCGCTCAGTACCTGTTATCTTGCTGCGCAGAAGGCCGCTGGGAGAATCCCATTTGGCACGCGGGGAAAGGCTTTCAACTTTCCCTCCCGCCATGTAAATATCCCGGAGCTCCCGAGTGAGTGGCGGTGGAGGGACTTTGTTGAGCATGGGACAATATCCATCTCCAAGGTGCCACCACGCAGGTGTGCCTGTCCCCGCTCTCTTGTACAGTCACTCTTTATGCTCCCCTCCCTGGCTTGAAAAAACCCACCGCCACCACACAGATGTTTACTTTATTGATATCACCTATACCACGGTTAGGCTGAGAATAATATGCCTCGACTAGCAGTCATTTAGCAAATAATAGAGGCGTTCTGGATGCTTTCCAGTGTTACACATGTTCTTGGTCATAAAATGATACGTGAAAAAATTAACATCTGTTTTCCTAAAATAAAGTGTGCCAAGTAGCTTTTTATGAATGCTTCCCCCATTTCAAAAAGAAATATGGAGAGATAAACTGGCACCCAGATGTATAGCATATTTAGAATGGTTTGGGGATTGAAAGGTAGCTTATTCCTGGCACGAGCCGTTTAAAAAGTGACGTTTTATAAACTACTTAACCCCAGACACCTTCGAATCCCGAAGAGTCTTCCAAATGTTATTATTTGAACAGGAATCGACAGATCCAGGCAAAACTATGCGCCAGTCGGGCCACTGCAGCCTTCGCGCGCCTCAGAAATTCCAACTCGCCTTTTATTTACCTAATTTCTCAGCAAGGTTCCCAGGCCCTTAAGCAAGCAGAGCTGAAAGTTTAGTTGGGCTCTTTTCTTGTTGTTGTTTAATTCCACTATTAGGAAATGAGGCCTACCTTTGAATTATTTCATTAGGGTTTGGCCTTTTGGGGGAAGGGGTGGGAACCATCATCATTAGTGGCTTTTTATTATTTCTACAATAAATGGCTAGATTCTTTGTTGAATAAGCCGCTTGAATGTTTTGCAGATGTTCCACTTTAGACCAAATCTTACCCTCTATTTCCTCCCAAATAAGTCGCTTGAACTCTCTCCCACCAGTGCTGGCCACTCCAGAGGACCCTCCCCTCGCCCTGGCAAGTGTGTGTGTGTAGGAATGATTCTCAGGAAATGTTCACCTAATTGCGCGCGCGAGCGTGCACACGCACACACATTTGCACACTCCCACCCACGAGCCTCTGAGCGGGGTAGAGGGTAGGAAAAGGGGGGAAAGACAAGCAACTAGCAAGGAGAGACATTAGCCCAGTGGTTACACCCGGTGGCAGCGCGCCCTCCTCCGGGCCCCTCGACTTGCTTTGTGCCTGTGGGTAGACACCCAGGAGGTGCCCCCCCTCCCCCCCAGCCACGGAGCT